GGATTGATAGGAGATGACGCCATTGTTGAGGTGAAATGTCCATATTCTGGGAAAAATCTTACTCCTGAAGAAGTGATTCAACAAAAGAGTGGAGTAGTGGGTACTCTATTTTCTGTTAATAAATCGGGCGCCATTGAAATGAAGAAACGGCATGTGTACCATTTTCAAATCCAGGGGCAGTTACACATCACAAAAAGAAATTATTGCGTCTTCGTGCTGTGGACACCGCTTGGAATGAAGTTGACGACAGTTCTCAGGGACGACAACTTTTGGGAAACAGAAATGGTCAACAAACTGACAATCTTTTACAAAAGTTGTTTGCTGCCAGAACTTTTGGACCCACAAAGGCGCAGGAGCATGCCTCTGCGAGAGCCAGCTTACATAGAAGAAGCCCAGAAGATCAGGATGGAATCAAAAAAAGAAAAGGAAAGTCTGGCACAACCATTGAATTGAATAAAACAATCATTGGTTAATATATTTATTAATTTATTGCTTGTTGTGAATCTATATTTTAGTTAATATCAAAGTTTATTATACAATGTTCCGTTTTAATAGTTTATTTAATTGCATTTTCAAAGTTTATTATTGCGGTTTACTATTTTATTTACTTTCAGAGTTAATTTTTTTACACTGTTGACATTTAATATTTAGTGGATTTAAATGTTTATTTAATTACTGTGGTGGTTAAATGGTCAATTTAATATGAATATCTATATATATATAAAAGGCAAAGCCCTCACTGACTGACTCACTCACTCACTCACTCATCACTAATTCTCCCACTTCCCATTTACCTAGGAGGCTGAAATTTGGTACACTGATTCTTTCAGCATTAAATAGGAAAACTAAGCTTTTTTTATTCTGATCGGACTATCGGGCTCCGCCCCAGTGGCTCTGGAGTTTCCCATTATAACCTTATGAGTACTCATATTTAAATGGAATTAATGAATCTTAACAGCTGTTTCAGTGAATTAAACAAGTTGGTTCTGTTCTATGATGTTCAATAGCATTAAAGTTACAAGGATTACCAACAGGGTGCAGCACTATTATTTCTTTTATATTTATGACAACAGCTAATTTGCAACCAAAAGGTGAGTGAGCGTAGCAAACAAACTTCAACCTGGAGGCGAGTTAGCGTTGCGAACGAGCTAACCTGAAAGCAAGTGAGCACAGCGAACGAGCTCAAACCTAAAGGTGAGTGAGCGTAGCGAACAAACTTCAACCAGGACGTGATTGAGCCACGCGAACGAGCTCACTTATTAAGTAAAACGGGGCAAAGCCCGCGGGTACAGCTAGTTTATTTACAAAGTTGTTATCGTGGTTCACCATTTTATTTACTTTCAGAGTTTATTTTTACATGCTATTGGGATTCGATTTTTTTTTTGTGGACTTAAAAGTTTGTTTATACACTGTTGCGGTTTAATAGTCTCTTTTATTTTAATATTTATTTTCAAAGTTTAATATTGCGGTTCACTATTTTATTTACTTTCAGAGTTAATTTTTTACACTGTTGACATTTTAAGTGGATTTGAATGTTTATTTATATACTGTGGCGGTTCAATGGTCAATTTAATATGAACATTTATTTACGAAGTTGTTATCGTGGTTCACTATTTTATTTACTTTCAGAGTTTATTTTTACAAGCTATTGGGATTCGATATTCTTTTTGTGGACTTAAAAGTTTGTTTATACACTGTTGCGGTTTAATAGTATATTTTATTTTAATAATTATGTTCAAAGTTTATCATTGCGGTTTAATATTTTTTACTTTCAGAGTTTATTTTTACACATTGTTGGGATACAATGTTTTAGTGGATTTAAAATGTGTATATAGACTGTTGCGGTTTAATAGTATTTTTCATTTCAATACTTATTTACAAAGTTATTATTGCTGTTTAATGTTTTATTTGCTTTCAGAGTATATTTTTACGATAAGAACAGACTGTGAGATTTAGAATGTTGGTTATTTTTTAAAGTTTGTTTACACACTGTTTTAGTTTAATATATTTCGTTTGATTTAAAACTGATTTTACACACTGATGGGATTGTATAATATGTTATTTAAATCAATTCCTTAGCTTATGTTCTATCATTCAGCTTAGTTATTTATTCATGTGGTATTCGTTGTATTTTACCGGAAGGTTTAGGCAATGTATAACTATATATTACACATCTTTGAGTTAGTTAAAAAGGTAGCCAACATAACTATTCACGTCATGGGTTGGTTATATAAACAGATTTTTCATGTTGCAGTGATCTAGCTCTATTTTAATTGCCCAACAAATGTAATCGTGTAAACGTATTTCCTAAACTGAAGCTGAAGTAACAAGACTAGATTATATAGTTCTCTACCAAACATTTTAATAATCATGCATCGGTATTGAACAACACACGATGTCCTAATGCAATGTATTCATGTTAGAGTACATATATGATACTTACATATATTATCTTTGTATATAGCTTATGGCATGGTATGGCTTACGGCTTATGGCTTATGGCTTATGGCTTATATAGCATGGTTAATTGTAACGTCGGGAACTTTAAATTTTGCAGCAAATTTAAAAATGTCTTACGTATACATTTATCAGAAGATTATTTTTTTATATAAGCCTAAGTATGATTTGATGAAATTTTGTGAAAATATTTGATGATGTAAAACTGTTTTTAATCTGTTTATCGTTTTTATTTTTAATGAATTGTAGATATGTTTTGTTTTTCAAAAAACGTTTGATGCAACAGGTTATTTTTTTTAAATGTACATAAATGTAGCTTTGCATCAGCTCTTTTACTTAGAAGATAGATATAGTACAAGAACAAATTTATATCAATACTATTATAAAATTGGTTTTGAATACACATGATATCCTTTTTGAAAGTAGTTTTTTTCTTATGGCCTATTGAAAAGTTTTAAACTCGTCTAGAAATAATGTTAATATGGAAATTGCAGTGTTAAATGGTTGACACTGTTGACATAACAGATTTAGTTAAATGGTATATACTCTTTCTAAGCCGAATTTCACTTCTTGATGTTCACGTTATTTGTTATGAACATTTGAATTTTCCTTGCAATCTATGATAACAGAAATTTCCTTAATAACCATACGCATAAGCTTGAATAACAAAAGAGGTACATTAAACACTAATATGTAGGTTTTTGCTTTTTCAGTTAATTGAAATTCAGCGAGTCTATGAGTTTTCTGCAGTAGAGAAAGTATTGTGTCATTTACATACAAAATAAAATAAAATTATGTTCAATTGGGTTACAGAAAGTGCTTGGGTTGTGTCCAAAAAACACCGATACTTCATTTTATCAATTTCCGTATTGCATGTTGTGTCATCAACATCAATATTAATATTTTGATGTCTTCTATCTTCGTGTGCTCTATCTGTGGGATCGAGTTGTCGAAACACAACGACTGCTGGCTGTAGCTGGTGGGTAACGAGCACCCGGGGTTTGGGGTCTAGAAGTGAAAGTTGTGCTCGGTCGATCACGTTTGGGGTAAACACCCTCGGTCGCCGGCCTAGGACCCAACTCACACACCTGTCACCCAAGCGCGGGAACAACGTTCTGTCTAAAACTGGAAAAACAACGTCCTGCTTTAAACCAAAATGACCTACGTAGTTTGGACCAACTCGGCCCAGAGCGCCACCGTCAGTTCGGACCAAGGCCCTAGGTACCACAGACTCTTAAGCCATATCAAGTCAAAATCATAATCTTTTCATTACCTTAAAAATGCTGACTAATACAAGTGGTGAAAGAATGGAAAACAAGGTTCAAACCTTTAAATCAAAAGGTAAGACTCAAGCAAAATCAAATCACAATCATAGCAAAACTAAATTACCAGGTCAAAATTCCCTCGAGCATTTTGAAAGTCCTGTAAAATTATACATCATTCATAATTTTAATTTAACTCACATATTTTTACTTGATGATATTCACACTGAGGTAAAGAATATATTTACGAACTTAGTCAAAATATTTAAGTGTCATAAATAAACCTTTTGAATTAATTTAATAATGCACATCCAGTATGATAATATACATTTCAGAAAAGTGGCTGGACTTTTTCTAATGTTAAACTCTTTTCAGGTATGTCAGCTAATAGAATGCTATGTTATGAAAATTGTATGGCAAAGTAAACCTGTGGTCCCACAAAGTGCATAAACAGATTGCAATAGAAATGGTTGGAGTAAGCCTTAGACTATTAATAAAACTTCAGTACCCAATAGTCAATGGTGAAAACTAACCAGCAGTTCCTAAAGAGAAGATTTAAAATAACTATTTTAAGAAGAGACAGTTTACTATACTTTACTTTAATACTTTTCAATGAAATGGTGACCATACAAAGTAGGTATTTTAAGCCAAGTACGAATGAAGATGATTGTAAGATAAGGGACGAGATCTTGTAGTCTTGTTAGTAACTAAGGCCGACATATTCCTTAGACACAGCTGTTAATTAATAGCCCATACAGCTAATGGCAACTAAGGGACCTACAGTTTATAGTGGAATCCGAACCACATTTTTGCCTTGGTATTACCGAATTGGTCTAATTATCAGGATAGTACTGCGGATAAACGTAGTACTCACAAGTGCGGACGTTAATCCACACCAGGGAGTATCGTATCCACAGTACGTGCCTTTAAATATCCACAATACTAATAGAAAAAGTCTAGATTAACAGCTAAATAAATCACAAAGCGAGTTTTCCTTTAAGTCACAAAACCATAATAAGGCACCCTTAACAAAAGACAACACTTAAGACGGTTAAGAGTATACTTAAGAAGTACAAGAACTTGCAAAATAATTTATATAATTTCTCCAATAAGTTTAAAAACATAAAAACCTACTTCATAAAGTCTGTAATTTGAAACGTTTATTTTCTTTTTCTTCAACTTTAAGTTAGCCTATCAATCTATTTAGTAAGTTTATATTCATATAAATTGTAAATTTTCGAAACAATCCCAAAATAAATACTATTTTATTAAGAAACATACCTCCAGGTCCAAATCTTCATCAACCTGAGACATTTCATTGTATGCTTGAGTGTACAGCTCTAGCGCCTTGGCATGTAGGGCCAATTCAATCTTGATAAAATCTAGCAATGTCATCTTCAAATCTTTCAGTTTCTTTTTCTCAAAAAGGTCAATTTGTTCTTCAAGAGCCTTCTGGTTACGAGACACCTCACTGCTGGCTTTGATCAATTCAGTCTCAGCTTTAGACTAATCTTTGTTAAGTTGTATCTAGCGTAAGTATTTTTGATAGCCTTAAACCCTACCAAATCAAATCAAATGGTTTTTATTTCATAGTTGTATGACAACACATGGAATGGCGCTAAAACCATATTCAAAACTTAACCTAAAAAAATGAATCTCTATTAAAAAAAAACATGCATTTGATGTATTTTTGAAAAGTCTACAGGTAGTAACAAGTGGTACTTTTTATGGCGAGTGTTTTTTTCTACATGCTGAATCTCAACTAGTTGCTGTCTGCCATTAAGATAGCTGTGGAACCATTGTTTAGACTTCTCGTAGTGGTCATAGTGGGAGTAAACTTGTTATCTAGTTCTTAGGTAGTCCCTATAGTAAACTGTCATCTAGTCTTTCAAACACTTTGTTTTAGTACCTTTACTTTTTGTTACTGGATATAGATCTGTGTTTTTAAAATGATTTTTAATATTTTTTTTATATTGTTATCAAAAGAAATATTTAAAAGAACAAATTTATATGGTTTTATTCAACTTAAAAATCTGCTACATTTTAGATGAGAGAACTAACACAAAACTTACTTACTTGTATACTTGAATTCTTCATCTTTGACAGAACCAGTCTGATAGATTGCGTTATATTTATTAATGATAAAAATAAAGACTATGTACATTTACTGTAAACATTACATTAAATTAAACAACTGATGAAATATTTGCCAGTTCAATATAGATCACATAACATAACAGTTGTCACTGTAAGTGAAGGTTCTTTCTGTGCTATTTCTGCTAGTTATCAAGCTAAGTCAGTGAAATTAGATTTTGTACTTGTGCTAGCCTTGAGTTTTTTTTATTTTTATTTTTTTATATATTTTTTTTTTTTGGACATATTGACAAATAATCAAACATAACTTACTTAATCATAACTAATCACTGTAAGGGTCCTGAAATTGGACTGAACACTGAATAAAATGACGTGAGGCTCCAGCCACCACAAGTCTGTTATTTTAAAGATATTGACTGATGAGACGACTCACTCATCAATAGGTTGGATTACCGAACGTGTCGGTTTATCGACAGCCAAGTGGACTTGATATAGTAAGTTATATCCATGTATAAATTACAATATGCTCCATAGCAATACTTAGCTTAATGTATGGCTCTCAAGCAACGGCAGTTTCACTAGGAAAGGATACAATCTGCTGCCTGTTGTGTGGGTTGCGCTGTATCAGCCTGTCCAGCTGACGTTGATGGTTCAACTCCTTGTCTCTCGCACTCAGTATCACCTTCAACTCCTCTTTGGATCTGTGACAAATGCCTTCGTACTGTCCAAACACATCCACCACCTTCTTGTCCAACCTTTGGACCTCCAACTCCCTGTGGACTTGTCCTTTGAGTAAAAGACAGCTAATTGTGGCAAGGTAAAGAGTAAACAAACTAAAGATGTTTGATCATGTTCCCTACCAACCATCACAACAACAATTGTATCCGAGGGATGAGTATAGTTGGTAGCTAATGTGTTAACACCTTCCCTGCCATCCATCACACTCTTTGTATCTGAGGAATGAGTATGGTGGGTAGCTGTATAACACATTCCCTACTAACCATCACACCTCTCTGTATCTGAGGGATGAGTATGGTGGGTAGCTGTATAACACATTCCCTACTAACCATCACACCTCTCTGTATCTGAGGGATGAGTATGGTGGGTAGCTGTATAACACATTCCCTACTAACCATCACACCTCTCTGTATCTGAGGGATGAGTATGGTGGGTAGCTGTATAACACATTCCCTACTAACCATCACACCTCTCTGTATCTGAGGGATGAGTATGGTGGGTAGCTGTATAACACATTCCCTACTTAACCATCACATATCTCCGTATCTGAGGGATGAGTATGGTAGCTGTGTAACACATTAACACATTCCCTAATAACCATCACACCTCTCTGTATCTGAGGGATGAGTATGGTGGGTAGCTGTATAATACATTCCCTACTAACCATCACACCTCTTTGTATCTGAGGGATGAGTATGGTGGGTAGCTGTATAACACATTCCCTACTAACCATCACACCTCTCTGTATCTGAGGGATGAGTATGGTGGGTAGCTGTATAACACATTCCCTACTAACCATCACACCTCTCTGTATCTGAGGGATGAGTATGGTGGGTAGCTGTATAACACATTCCCTACTAACCATCACACCTCTCTGTATCTGAGGGATGAGTATGGTGGGTAGCTGTATAACACATTCCCTACTTAACCATCACATATCTCCGTATCTGAGGGATGAGTATGGTAGCTGTGTAACACATTAACACATTCCCTAATAACCATCACACCTCTCTGTATCTGAGGGATGAGTATGGTGGGTAGCTGTATAACACATTCCCTACTAACCATCACACCTCTTTGTATCTGAGGGATGAGTATGGTGGGTAGCTGTATAACACATTCCCTACTAACCATCACACCTCTCTGTATCTGAGGGATGAGTATGGTGGGTAGCTGTATAACACATTCCCTACTAACCATCACACCTCTCTGTATCTGAGGGATGAGTATGGTGGGTAGCTGTATAACACATTCCCTACTAACCATCACACCTCTTTGTATCTGAGGGATGAGTATGGTGGGTAGCTGTATAACACATTCCCTACTAACCATCACACCTCTCTGTATCTGAGGGATGAGTATGGTGGGTAGCTGTATAACACATTCCCTACTAACCATCACACCTCTCTGTATCTGAGGGATGAGTATGGTGGGTAGCTGTATAACACATTCCCTACTAACCATCACACCTCTTTGTATCTGAGGGATGAGTATGGTGGGTAGCTGTATAACACATTCCCTACTAACCATCACACCTCTTTGTATCTGAGGGATGAGTATGGTGGGTAGCTGTATAACACATTCCCTACTAACCATCACACCTCTCTGTATCTGAGGGATGAGTATGGTGGGTAGCTGTATAACACATTCCCTACTAACCATCACACCTCTCTGTATCTGAGGGATGAGTATGGTGGGTAGCTGTATAACACATTCCCTACTAACCATCACACCTCTCTGTATCTGAGGGATGAGTATGGTGGGTAGCTGTATAACACATTCCCTACTAACCATCACACCTCTTTGTATCTGAGGGATGAGTATGGTGGGTAGCTGTATAACACATTCCCTACTAACCATCACACCTCTTTGTATCTGAGGGATGAGTATGGTGGGTAGCTGTATAACACATTCCCTACTAACCATCACACCTCTTTGTATCTGAGGGATGAGTATGGTGGGTAGCTGTATAACACATTCCCTACTAACCATCACACCTCTTTGTATCTGAGGGATGAGTATGGTGGGTAGCTGTATAACACATTCCCTACTAACCATCACACCTCTTTGTATCTGAGGGATGAGTATGGTGGGTAGCTGTATAACACATTCCCTACTAACCATCACACCTCTCTGTATCTGAGGGATGAGTATGGTGGGTAGCTGTATAACACATTCCCTACTAACCATCACACCTCTCTGTATCTGAGGGATGAGTATGGTGGGTAGCTGTATAACACATTCCCTACTAACCATCACACCTCTCTGTATCTGAGGGATGAGTATGGTGGGTAGCTGTATAACACATTCCCTACTAACCATCACACCTCTCTGTATCTGAGGGATGAGTGTGGTGGGTAGCTGTATAACACATTCCCTACTAACCATCACACCTCTCTGTATCTGAGGGATGAGTATGGTGGGTAGCTGTATAACACATTCCCTACTAACCATCACACCTCTTTGTATCTGAGGGATGAGTATGGTGGGTAGCTGTATAACACATTCCCTACTAACCATCACATATCTCCGTATCTGAGGGATGAGTATGGTAGCTGTGTAACACATTCCCTACTAACCATCACATATCTCCGTATCTGAGGGATGAGTATGGTGGGTAGCTGTATAACACATTCCCTACTAACCATCACACCTCTTTGTATCTGAGGGATGAGTATGGTAGCTGTGTAACACATTCCCTACTAACCATCACATATCTCCGTATCTGAGGGATGAGTATGGTGGGTAGCTGTGTAACACATTCCCTACTAACCATCACACCTCTTTGTATCTGAGGGATGAGTATGGTGGGTAGCTGTATAACACATTCCCTACTAACCATCACATATCTCCGTATCTGAGGGATGAGTATGGTGGGTAGCTGTATAACACATTCCCTACTTAACCATCACATATCTCCGTATCTGAGGGATGAGTATGGTGGGTAGCTGTATAACACATTCCCTACTAACCATCACACCCTTCTGTATCTGAGGGATGGTTTAGTTGGTAAATAATGTGCTAAAATGTCAATAATAAACCGGATGGGTTAAACTGGATAGGTATGTCAGCCCTTGAGGCCAACTTTCAACCAGAACAAACTAAGGTAGCTTACTCAAAAAGTATTGAGTACCTAATATCTTTGTAGTGTGGCATGGAATGTTTAAATAAATAATTATTATTAAACAAAACAAATCATAGTGCATAAACATTTATCTACGAATGAAGGCTGTATGAAATTGAGTCTATTATTACAAAGTATTTGTTACAAGCTGTATAATAATTAAATTATGGAATTTGTACTCTTACTCAATATAAATGTTATAGTTTGGCCGCTTAGAAAGTGACCTCCTCTAGCATTGGTTTAGCATTAGCGTGCAGGACGCTTTCTAAAATACTAACAACATTAATATAACATTAATATATGGGTTTAAGCTATTTCTATTGAGATGTTTAGAAAAAATATTATGTTAGTAAACCGTACTGTCGTCAGTTTCACACTCCTCGCAAGGACTCTAATCTCACACAGGCATAAGCATGTTGGTTTTTTTGCAAAAAATGCTGCTATGCATTTAATGTAACAAGGGGACCAATGCCCAATTATAAAAAATGGATCAAACCCTTATTCCAAGGTAAAACTAATAATGCAATATCCTTTTACTTTTCAACGATTATGTTTGTTTAAGACAGTATTAGGTGTAAAACAACAAATTATAATAGGACATGCGTCTTAGGTCTGACCATAATGTCAATGGTAACATATTAGGCTACCTTAACCTCTTAAGGAAAATGCCTATAAAATAAAAAAGACATTTTGATTCTTAGGCTTAGGATGATTATTGTAAAAGGAGAATACTTATATAGCAGATTCAAAGTGGTGTGAAGTATTTTTCTACAGCTATCTCACTCAATTATGTCCAGCATTATTGAAATTATGCACAAAAGTTACCTGAAATCACCCAGAAGATTAAAAGTCTTGGCGACTTCAGACATTCTTGTTTTTAGTGTTGTGTTTATAGTTTCACTTTCTGCATAACAGGCAAGTGCCTTGGCTATTTCATCTGAAGCATCTCGAACCCTGAAATGAACAAGTGGATGAATGTTTTTGTGTCATGAAGTGTTTCTAACCTGTCTTTTTATAAGTAACTAGAGGTCGTAATGTACACAGTGTATACACAACACCAAAAAAATAATCCTGCTTACCTAGTCGAGAAATCCTGTTCAATCCCGCTTTTGAATGACGAAAAATCCTGGTTTATCCCGCCTAATTTTTTTTTGTTCTATCCCGAGTGTTATATTAGACTATCATGTTTAAATAGTGTGTTAAATAGTGCTATTGTATTTTTCTACAATAGTTTAATCAATTGGAGTTAGTTTTTCTCTAAAATTAAGTTGACAAAAAATAGTTGTCATAGCCAAAAATCCCGGTTTATCCCGCTCATGATCTACAATTCCCGTTTTCGGCATAATAATCCTGTGTAAGGAAACACTGAATGTTCAGACTTCTATATTTTCACCCCATGCTGTAAATAAAACGTGTGATAGGAATTTCTTCCATTTGTTTTGATTTTCTGTTTATATTTCGTCACAGCATGGCAACCCATAAGACACATGTTAAATTTTTTTTAAATTAAAAATGTATTTTTTTTTTCTTTTGAGCCTACTATTTTAATGTTTTAATGGATTCTGCACACTATGAGGAAAATATCTTTCCAACAGTATGGGTAGGTTTTCCCTCGGATGCACACAAGCTGAGAAAAAAGCTTTTAAAGAAACATGCTTGCCTATTAATAGGGCCTATATAGATATTTATTGAACCGCTAACACAGTGCGAATGAAGATCTTTGGTGTTAAATTTGACTACTGTATGCCTTAGTTTAGTGTATCACTACGCACCCAACAATAGAGTAATCTCGGTTAAGCTGGAAACGTCTATGGTACATTTTTACCTCTGCAGTCTGGATTGTACACTCATATTTCGGTTACGCACATAGGTGGCGACACCATCACAATTATAATGGTAATGTAAGAAAGATAGATGGTAAGAACAATTATATTTATTTACACACAATCTACCACACTCTAGAATGATATTAAATTATTAAATTGATACGGTAAGCTTGTTAACCTGTTCCTAGTGTATTTCAAGTTACCTGCCTGCAAACTAGCTTCTAGTGAACACAGCTTAAATTTTTGCCTTAAAATTACCTTGCAGCCTTCCTGGAGAATAATGAGAATGTAGAACATAACTCAGCCATATTTGACTCCACAGCAATAACTCTATCCAACACAAATCTGGCTTGCTGTTCACTGTAACAAGAATAGAATTGTAAATTACCCTTAATTGGAAATAACAAACTATGAATACTTTAAAGGTATCAACAAGAAAATATTCAAACTTTATTTACTTTTATTCCGCCAAGATCACGCCACTCATCCTACACTCATCTCCATTCATACTTGGCTTAAAATACGTACTTTGTATGGTCGCCATTCCGATGAAAAGTATAAAAGGATCATTATGTGCTGCATGGCGCACAATGCTCTTGTCCTAGAGGAGCCACAGTAGGGTAGGCCTACCTTCTTGAGAGGCTCTCTTTAAGCACAGAAAACGTACTACTATAACCCAGAATGCCAACCGCATGGTAAAAAGCATTAAGCGGTTTGAGAGAGCTTTGCCTGTCAATCCGTAGGCAGCGCCACCAGCGTTGCCATGCAATAGCATAGCAACGCTGGTGGCGCTGCCTACGGATCGACAGGCAAAGCTCTCTCAAAACGCTTAATTTTTTTTACCATGCGGTTGGCATTCTGGGTTATAGTAGTACGTTTTCTGTGCTTTAAGTGAGGAAGTCTCCAGCTTCAATTACCATGAGAGAGGCTTGAGTTTGGAAGGAAAAGCTTCTCGTACCACGGCCAAATGCCAAGATGTTAACCCTCTTGATACTGGAATATTTTTTTGTAATTTTCCAAAAATTCCTCGGTATATAATAATTAAATCTTTTATTTTAAAAGTGCTAAGGCCTAAGTTACTGTAAAATAAAGATAAAATTGGCTTAGCCTAAGTTAGGCCTATAATATTAAGCTTACCAAACAACACTTTCAGGTTTATTCGTCTTGATGACATTCATAATAGCCTAGAAAACACTTTATTGTTTTTGATAACAAAACCTAAATGTACAATTGCAAATTATTTATGTTAAATGTTATGTTTATCTGTAACTAATTAATGTCCTAAAGATCATAATACCACTAATAAAATGAGCCCGTGGTTAATATTATGTTTTTTTGTGAATTAACCAAAAACATTTAATAATAAAAAGCCAAAGTTACACTACTCTTAGACTGTCACTGTGGTATATTGTAAAATAAAATAATTCTAAATTCTACCTAATAAAACCAGAACAAATCTTTATTTAAAACCGATTTCGTTTCGACAAATTTCAAGTTTGGCGTTTGTTTTAGTTTTCACGTCACGCCACGATTCACATTCACGATTTCGTTTCGTTTCGATATACTGCCGCGGTTTTGTTTTGTTTTTGTTGACTACCGTCGTCATGGTATCATGTAAACAGACAAAGAAAAGAAAAAGATTAAGAAACAAAATACAAAGACCGCGGAGCACTGAGCTAAAATTATAACTCCCACGGAGAGCACAAGCATAGATTAAGCATACTCAATGCTTGGCACAAGTAACAGCACTAGCAGCCCGCGGGAAAAAGATTTTTTAAACGATTTTTTTAGCTCGCTTTCTTGTCTGTTCGGTACAAATTTTGCAATCGATTTTAAACCAACTTCCCGATGAGCTAGAGACTTGAAACTTGAAATATAGTTCACAAATGGATGACAATACAATATTAAATCAGTTTATTTTCATATTTCCCTTGGGCTACGCCCCATGCTTCCACCATGGTACCCACGGGCTTCACCCCGATTGAATTCATAAAACTATTGATTCATTAATTATTTTTTTAGTTAAGCACATAAACTAAAACAACTAAGTTTTACATAAACTAAACGGAATTTACAAACAAATAATCACACCTGATTTTAATAAGGTAATAAATTGAAAGAATAACATACAAAAGTATAGCTGAGGTGCGCCGGCCGGCCAACTATGTTAAATGTCTACCGTTCGTGTGTTGTGTTTGTGTTCAATGTACAGTATTTAAGAAGATTTTACGACATTCAATGAATGAATGAGTGAGTCGGTGGCTCAGTCGGTAGCGTCGCGGACTTCGGGCCCAAGGCAGCGATGTCGTGGGTTCGGATCCTGGTCACTGCCGATAACATTTTATCAGTACAGTTCACCTTTGTACTGTACCGGTTCACTCCTTGCTTTGCTGTAAACGATCCACGCACGGGCGCTTAGTCTATGTGGACGGGCAAATGCAAGGTAAAAGAGGCCACCAACCTCTTTAAAAAATATATATATATATATATTTTAAAGTTCTGTTTCGAAAATGACTACATACTTAGTTGTCGAAACTATAGTCAACAGAAGTTCGACAGAGGAATTGTGGACGTCAAGTTACGTAACCTGTTATAATAGATTACCAATTCCGGAAGGCTTTAACATGAATAAAATGTAAATATTTACTGGATGGATAATCAGAGAAGACTGGCTGTAACTAGCCGCAATAAACATAAGCCTATAACAATCTCCATTCATACTTGGCTTAAAATACCTACCTACTTTGTATGGTCACCATTTCATTGAAAAGTATTAAAGTAAGTAAGTATAATGTTTGTCATTCAAGTAATTATAAGGTAATTAATACTGTGAATCAATTCCACTGGTTGTAATGATATTACCTCTTTTAATTTATCAAAAACTCATTGACAATTACAGTATATGTAATATTTTTCACCTTTAAAACCCCCTTCACAGACCAACTGCCGAAAACACATTAAACCTAACTTACTTGACAAAAAGGAAGTAACAATAAGATAGGCTATGAACATTTACTATTTACAAAGTGATGGGACCACAATCCATAGTGAAGAAAAGTGTTCATTTTTTTATTAATGATTGTAAAGAATTTCGTGTGCAATATTTATTATATCTACTTTGGAATTAGAACAATAATATGTGCAATTGGCAATTATATTCACGCCCATTTTCAGAGTGTAAAAGATTAATTTTTTCGTAAAAGTACTTAAAATGACGACTTTGCAAGTATAATTTTACAAAAATTTCCAGGGAGAACCCCGATCCCTCTTTCCGCTGGGGGATACTCCATACCCCCAGACCCCCTGTTCGGCGTAGTAAAACAAGGCCTCGCAATTATGTTTTGCCCCAGGCCTCGCATTTTATAAAGACGGCTCTGCATGAGCCTTAAAATATATTTTAAACATATTTAAACATTAGAGACTAGCCTAAAAAGTATAGAATAATTTTATAAATAATTTTTTTTTCAAATACCACGTTTTCAAACGCACTAAAAAAATTGAAAATAGTTTTTAAATTTGTGGGGAGGATAACTACTTGTAAGATTTAAAACGAAAAACGTGGGGCGCATGCAATAAATAATAATAATTCAATATAGGTTAAGAAGATATAGCCATTTTGTATAGCTATTACAAGCGCAAAAAAGCTAAAAAGTATTATTTTCTACTTTTTAAGTCTTAATCAAGTAGCAAATTGTTGGCCCAACGCTGGAAAATGGTCGGCACGGTGGGGGAAATGGTGGGTGGAAATTGTAACACCTTGCCAAAGTTGGCCCAACGGTAACTTGTATTCTTTGGCCATACAAAGGAATCGTTGGGCCTTTGTTGGATTTAAGTATAAAACATTCTTAAACACATTTTAACAAATTAATTAATTTAATAAGAAAATTAATGCTATGTCAGCAGAATATAAGACGATTTCAGAGAAAATTATCATAATCGAAATTATCGTTATATTTGATCTAAAATAACGATTATATTATAGCCTACAGTAATACATAAATATATAGTAGTAAAAGAAGGTACATGACTTTTTAATTTGGTATTGGTGGGGAAAAAGATAACGACCGGGACCGGTATTCATTTTGGTACATGTATGTAAGATACTTTTAGCGAATTTCCCATAGGGAATAAGCTATTACCGTATTTATATATATATGTGTGTGTCTGTTATAGCTCGATAACTCGAACAAAAATGATCCGATTTTGATGAAATTTGGTATAAACGTGTAAACCTACATTTATTTGAACGAGTTCGCGAACCAGTATGATCGGACCATGGGAACGGAGGTTTATGGGGGTTTTGCGGGGTAAACATGTTTTTCCCATTTTTGACCCTAAAAACATAAAATTTTGGAATATCTTTCTCAACCATTTTGTAGAGCTTAAAAAAATATAGTTATTTGTGTAACTAGTGGTGAAAGTGGCACTTTGCTGCACACGAGAGCAATGTTTACGCACGAGCCGCAGGCGAGTGTGGAATGATCTCGAGTGCAGCAAAGGCCTTTTTCACTCGTGTTACACATTATATTTTTCCTACAGTCACTATAAAGCATATAAATAATTAATCTTTCAAACACTATACAACACGTTTTTAGGTTCAGCTGGCAACACAAATGGTGTCCTAGAGAAAGTAGTACCCGCGGTCCGTATCACTCCGCTATTTTTCCTCGGCAAGAAATGTGCTCCGCGTTTTGAGAATATAGTTCCGTATGTTTTTGTAATTTGAAGTGGTTTCCGAGCCTAAAAAAAATGCTTTAAAGGTATTTTCTCGTTTATTTAGATCGTAGGAATGTTTTAAAAACGTTTAAAAGAAAAGTCCAGTAAGTTCAGAAATACCGAAACTATAAACACGAAATGACAGGTTAAATCGTAGTTATAATAGTCAATCAGCTGATAATAGTATTATATTTATATTATTATCATTAAGTGTTGCCAACCTATTTTCAAGCGTACACAGATTACGTGCATAATAGAACCACGCTGTTTTGTGTTGTTTCGTTGGAATCCTGATGTGCAGCAAGCAAAGTATAAACCGTACGGCAAAGTATAAACCGTACGGCAAAGTAATATGCAGCTTTCTGTACTATAAACAGTACAAGGAAGCCAACTTTGTCGGGTGACTGTAGGAAAAATAATTTAGTATATTGAATCATTGTTGTATGCCTAACGGTCACGGAGAAAATTAAAAAAAGTGCAATTTAAAATACCCCTGTCATTTTTATGGAGAAAATGAAAACTGTTGTAGTTAACTTGTTTATGGATAGATTTTAATAAAATTTGGCAAATTTATTTATTTCATATAACACTATTGATGTTTGGTCAAAAAAACACATTTTACCTTCCCCGTAGCAGCAAACCTAAGCACTCTTTAAATCTAATGCTATTTAAATTGGGAATAAAAATGTCTTATTTATGGAATATTTTAGTAAAAATGTAATCAGACAAGTGGAAATTCGCTTAGTCTGCAGGTTTACTGTGGCGGGGGTATTTTGCTACTACTACCATAGATAAAAGGAGTTTTAATCTATGCTACTACAACTCCACTCTACTACTGCAGGCAGACGGGCAGACTGCAGATCCAAATCAAATCAACTGTCAAAATTGTAAGGGTCAACTCTCTCAAACTGAAAACTGACTGAACTTACTTATTACTTTTCGTTTTCAAGGCTAGGCTAGGGTCGCTTGGTGACTTTTTAGAAATTAAGTTATTTATGACACTACTGTATTGATATTTTTGAAAAAGTAATAAAGTAATTCCAAAGTAAAGTAGGCGTATATTAATGGTTTACTTATCACCTATAAATGTCTGGAATTGAAACTTGGATTTCGTTGTGAATAGAAGAATCTTATGAGTTCTAAATTAAGTCTGTGTTCCTGTACATAAAAATAAATTTAAATTAATAAAATGAACGTTAGATACAAGACTTTTATCGCCCTTATTGCTGTTATACTGTCAAGGTAAGCATAGGATTATTAATAGGTTAACCTCAAATTTAAATTCAAGTAGCCTAGGCTAAACTTTGAAAGACCTTGATTTTGTGTTTGTTCAGGTTAGTCTTAGATATTGACTTAACTCCTGTCATAAAAGTTTAACATCCTAAAAAGGTTTTACTTAAACGTTTATCTAGGCCTACAGCTCAATCCACTGTACCTTGGGTTAGGGTCATTTCAGCATCAGCCCTACAATGCCATCATCAGAGACAGTGAGGGCACACTTCCATATCTGTTGGCACAAACAACCGAATGAGTAGGCCTAATACTGATTATTCGATTGTTTGATTCGATATGATCGATATTTTCATTCAGTTGTTTGTGCCAACAGAGATAGAAGTGTACCCGACAGTGATTCAGCTGAAGCAGTGTTGTCACAATCAAAATACAATACATGGTCTTTATTTTAGGCTACATTTAACTATAAAATGTGATTGAACACGCCTGTTGCTACTAGTTAACATTGACACAAACTGAACCATAGATGGCAACTGGATGTTAACTTAATCATAATTATCTTAATCATCAATATTATTTTCTGTCGGCCCTAAGCTATAAGCTCCGTGAATTGCATATTCTTCTAGTGTGTCCAGTTTATTTCCTTTCCTGCTTGTGTGGAGTACCTATCTCTAAGCCATAGTTCAATGACATGTCATGATTTTTTGTCAGCCAGGTAGCCTAATGTGCAAAAGATTATTTTTGTTTGTCGGCTCTTTGACCTGGATGGTGATCTTTGTACCTAGTTCCGAATGACTGTCCAGTTTTTCCCATGTAAAAGCTCAGGCAACTAGGCCCCTAGTTTTAACTTAATTAGCACATTTAGTTTTGTACACACTTGACTTCTCACTTTTGTCAATTAGGCCTTACAGTACAGTATCAGAAACGTGTAAGTTAGTTTGTTAATTGCCTTGTTATTGGTCTTGAACTCTTATACAATAAGCCTACCATGTTTCTTGTATTCTTTCGTAAGAGTGTATTGAATTGAATGTAGGCCATGTATTTTACACAGAACAGTTCTAAATTCTTCTTTAGCGGTTGAACATCTCCAGACTTTTTGTTTTTTGTCTTTCTTAATTATGTCAATTAAATTGCTTAGTAACCATTCGTTAACACTATGAGTTTGATTTTATTTAGTTCTTTATTATAATTTTTGTCTGACATAGGTATATTTAACAAACTTATACTACACTAGCAGTATGGTTTCTATACTTAAGCGGCATACTTCTGTGATGTGATAGAGGATGGTAAGACGAGTTGTGGATGGTTTGGTGCCACATGTATGAAAGACTGGATAGAAATTAGAACAAATTTATATCCAACTTATTTGATTAGACATATAATTTCATCTGGTTTTATAAGTCGAATAGGCCTACCTCATTTTCTAGCTCAAACTGATCCCGATTGGGTTCAAAAACTACCAACCCCTTTCATATCTGAAAGCCAGCACTATAACTACTCGGCTGTCTAGACAATTTTTTAGGAAAATCAGAGAAAGCCATAAAACATTGAAAATAATAAATTCAACGTTCCATAACCTACCTACAAATTTGGAAATAGTTATTTTAAGGAATTTATTATATGGTATTATTTTTTTCAGATTTGGTTCAATGTGTCTGGCTGCACAAGAAAATATAATCCTAGGTGTTCAAACAACTATTAACTCTTCATCTCAGTTTCTTGAAGTAACAGACACTGGTCAGCATCATAGGCCTACGGATGAAAACATAAACCCAAAGGAAAATGTTATACAGGTGTGTATTACTATGTGAAAGATAAACACATTTCAAAGTGTGAATATCCTAAACATTTTACTTGTTACTCTTTAATACATAGCCTACATTTATAAACGTGTAAACATGTTTCTTTAATTCTTTTGTAAGTGTGTATTGAATTGAATGTATGTATTTTACTTAGACATACTTCTTATTTAGTGGTTGAACATCTCCAGACTTTTTGTTTTTCATCTTACTTAATTTTATGTCAATCAAATTGCTTTGTAACCAGTGTTAAACATGTCATATAGGGCTGTGAAAATGAGTTAAGGCTTCACCTCATAATGTTTTTATAATTTCTATTGATATCATTGTTGCAACTATCACTACATTTTACATCGAGAAGGTAGGGTGTTGTCAATTACACTTCCAACTAACAGTTTTTTGTTGTTGATTTTATTACGTTTTAGGTTCAGTAACCTGTGAATCAAAAAACCAACATCCGAAGAAAAACTTACAGATATCAAAGCATTTTCACCTGGATTTAAATAAATAATCTTGGTTTATTTTCCAGGAAGAGAAAGTGGTAGAAGAGATCCGCTCTAGTTTTGAAGACTTGTCTATTGCTGAGGAAAGAACCAAAATTAAAGAAGAACCACACGCTGCACCAACACTGCAATTCCAACATCAGCATGCCAATATCGCAACTGAGTAAGTAAAGTTTATAGTAAGGTTATATTGTTTTATACTTTTCAATGTAGGCCTACAATATTGTGTTTAAATATATATTTCCATGAACTTCGCCCAAATCTTAGACCACCCTGCCATTGATCTGATTTTATGAATAAAAAACTGCTCTAATAACGCCAGTGAACTGAAAACTCCATCCAATTACTTTTGTGTTTGTCACCTAGATTGCAGCACATGTCAAACCCTTTGGTGGAAGTTATTAATTAAAATTGTGTTGCTACTCATGTCGTCTGGTATATTGGGGATTGTGATACTAATATGGTTAAATTACGCTTTGTGTTTAACACATTCATTGTACCAGGTACCGAATCCCACAGGAACTCATTTAGCTGGGGAGTGTGGCACATGGACTGGCAACCTGTTACCATAGTAACATAATTGTTTTATATTAGTTTGACACCTACTTACTTGGTTGATTGATATAATTAGAATCACCCGGTGGCGCCGTGGCCAGGGGGCACCATAGCCATGGAAGAAAAAAAAATTAACAACCTTATAGGTGAACGAATATTTTACGGAAAAATCGTTTAAACATCTAATAACTTGAAAGCACAAAAAATATGTCAAATAACACTCGTAAGTGTTTACGAGAGAGTGTTATTTGACATATTTTTTGTGCTTTCAGGTAATTAATAACACGTACGATTCTGATCAAGTAGACATCTAATCAATGATAATAACTAGGCCTACTAAAAAAGGGCAATCTATAACTTAATGGGTTTATTCATCAAATATGTAAGTAGAACCCCGACTATCCAAAACAATTGGTTCTGAGAGGCATTAGGGTAGTCGGACGTCAACGTCTTTGTCAAGCGTACCTCAGTCACATAAAGTGTATAATTTGAGCTACAAACAACTTTTTCGATTATCTTTTAGCGAATTTCCCATATAGAGAATACTTTTTTAATACTTTTCTTTGAAATGGCGACTATACAATGTAGGTGTTTTAAGCCAAGTATGAATGGAGATGAGTTTATGATAAGTGGCCGACATATTCCTTAGACACAGCTGTTAAGTAATAGCCCATACAGCTAATGGCGACTTAGGGACCTACGGTTTATAGTGGAATCCGAACCAATTTTTTTTCCTTGGTACATACAAATTGGTCTAATTATCAGGATAGTACTGCGGATAGTCGTAGTACTCACCCGTGCGGACGTTAATCCACACCAGGGAGTATCGCATCCACAGTGCATGCCTATAAATATCCACAATTCGTGATCTCCTAGTAGCTGGATTACAGGACGACGCCACCCGTCCCAGTCATTATATAAGCTATTACCGTACTGTAGTACTCATAGTAAGACCTGGACCCGGGACCGATTGTTTTTTCATTTTGAAGTCCCTATAGGCTAAAAACACCATCTGTCCAAATTCATATATATATATATATATATATATATATATATATATGTCTATTAGCACCATAACTACATATAAGCAAAAATAATCCGATTTTGATGAAATTTAGTATAAACGTGTAAAACTATATTAATTCGAACGAGTAAGCAGCACGATCGCCATGTAGCCGAGTTTCACACAAAGCGTTGCCAGCCGCTCTTGTAATGTCAGCTCACAGGCGGCTGTAACGAATTTATAGTTTATACATACAAATTTTGAGGTGTGTACCTTCATAGATGATTCAAAGTTGATGGAACTGGTTCGTCACCACCCATACGTTCACCCCCAATACTTGAAGAAGATGTCTCTGAATAAGAATACTCTGAAACCCCTATTTTCACCGTACCATGAACAATTCACTGAAATATATAATACCCATATGACAATGTATCTCATTTGAAAGTTCATGAACTTCTGTGCATTGTGGTATTTAATTCTTTTAAATATGAATTTTTGAAAATATTATTGCAAAATCGCCAAAAATGCCTTGCCACTACAACAGAGTTCGCCCATTGCCAGTTGGAGGGTTAATGATAATTAATTAACGTGCTGATGATTTAAGACGGAGTAAAGAGGCTTAGGCCTATTTTTAATTGACCAAAAGTTATTTAGACCTTGTCAACGGCTAGTCAGATTTTAATTAGCCCAATGTTTGAATATCATAGTCAGTTTTAATAAAATGTTCAGTGAAATCAAGCCTCCAAATCAAACTATAATATTGTAATTTTATAATATACGACGTGAGAGCTTTGTGCGTGTTTATTGATAACATTTGATCCTGATAAGACTGTGCTACAAACATAAGTGACGAGTAAAAGTCTATAATTAGTTAGTCTAACACCATTTCCATCTTTCCTTGAGAAATTGTTTTAGACATTGGCTCTCGATGAGATAAACTTTTGGAGGGATCTGTAATAAGCTGGGATTCAAAGTTGAGTGGTGTTGTCAATAACTTGTTGACAATATTTATTTGGAGTAGGCTGGAATAAAAATTTAAATTAAAATACAACATGTATCACATTTAAACTCTGTGCCTCCTGATCATCTTTAGAGACATACTCAAACTTAATATTTATGAATTAAGATTAAAAGTAGGGTGAAGTGGGGTAAGTGGAACCAGGGGCAAGTGTAACCAGCTTATCAATCAACTGATAAGAGAAGAATTTGATGGTGATGCAACTGGAACAACAAAACAATTTTTTTTTTAAGAAAACTTTTTTATCTTTTTTATTGTCTTTAAAAAGCTAATTAGTTATAGTTATGGTACAACAAATTTTCACAATTACAAGTATAATATTACCTGAGCAATGTAAAGTCAACACAGTATAACTAGAGGACCCCATGCTGCTCTGCAGCGTTAAAATAAATATACTATCTGAGAAATAATCAAATTTATGATTTTAGATTGAGTAATATAGTATCTTGAGCTTAACTGATTTAAACGATCAATAGCTCAAATTAAAGCCTATAATTTATTGAATATTTTGAGTCTAAAACATATAAAAAAAACATGAACAATACTGGAGCTATTGATTTTCAATCATAGAAAAACCATATGAAAAATAATTTTTATGTTGGTTGTTCACCTATTTTGCTTGAAACTCGTCCAATTTGAATGACTAATAACTTAAATGAAAGCCGGTATTTCACTGAAGATTCTTAGACCAAATTATATGTAATTATAACTATAATATAAATACCTCGTCACAGCTCTGAAGTTGCTGTATATTACAGCTGTTTCGGCATCAAAATATACAGCAACTTCAGAGCTGTGACGAGGTATTTATATTATATTATAGTCAGCTCAGGGGCTAAACCATGTCTATTGATAATTATAACTGGTGAAATACATCTTAAAATGAGGTAAGAATTCGAAAATGAATTAAATTATGTGTTTTGGTCAAGTAATAAAGTAGGTAAATATATGCCGATGCTTGATGTGAAATCTTTGCGTGCATGTCTTCAATTTGATACCTCAATCATGAAAATTGCTCAGATAGAAGAGCCAAACGAACTCGCAAAAGAAAAAACTAAATTTAACTCCCATAGGATATACATGGAGAGCGAATTTCGCTTACATATAAGTCGAGTGGAATTATAGATAAATAAATGTATTTAATGACTGCCGAACTAATAATTAAATCAATACCCCCGCCGCAGCAAACCTGCCGACTAAGCGAATTTCCATTTGTCTGAATTGATTTTCAGTTAAATATATTTTAATAACATTAGGTTTAACGAGTACCTAGGTTTGCTGCTACAATGAAACTAATAAAGTGTGTTTTTGAGTAAAATATTGATAGCTTAGTACAAAATAAATAAATTTGCCAAGTTTGATCAAAATATATTCATAAACAAACAAACTACAACATTTGACAATATTCTCCATTAGAATAACATGGGAATTTTAAATTTACAATTTTTTAATTTTCTCCGTTACTAATAATCGAACAAAAATACTTTTATATACTAAATTATTTGTTTTTTTTAAGCTCTTTAAAAAGGTCTAAAGAGAAATTGGGAAATTTTGTGTTTTGAGGGTCAAAAGTGAGAAAAACCAATTTTTACCCCATAAAACCCCCCGTAAAGCCCCGTTCCCATGGTCCGATCATGCTGGTTCGCGAACTCATTCAAGTTTATCCCGCTTTACACCTTTAAACCAAATTTCATCAAAATCGGACAAAAATTACTCAAGTTATCGCGTTCACGGACGTATATATATATATATATATATAGGCCTATACATATATAAAAATTTGAACGAATAGTGTTTTTGGCCTCTGGGGACATCAAAATGAAAAAGTAAATCGGTCCCGGGTCAAGGTCTTACCGTGCCACCTACGGTAATAGCTACTTCCCTATAGGGAAATTCGCTAATACACCCACTTGTTGTGACTTAGCCAGGTGATTGGTATTGATGTAAAACACAGTAGAGATAAGCTAATGTGTATTAGTCAAGTTATGTTATCTGTGTGAGGTGGGCAGAGAGGCTGTGTGTGTGTGTGACGTGGACCAATAGGTCTAGAGTGAGAGAGAGTAACACTGGCACAGTCACAGTGTAGTGTGTGGTGGTGAGTGTGTAGTGTCTTGTGTGTCTGTGCCAGTGTAGTGTCTTGTGTGTCTGTGCCAAGATCAAGGTCTGATAGGTATACCACGTGAGTTCAGTATTTGTTGTACTTTCACAAGTACAAAAAACATTGTTAGGTTAAGGGATGTGTTTTTTGTAAAATTTATAGGGTGGGGAAAAGTTATATTTATTTGTTATATTGTCCTAAAAGAAACTTTTACTATTTTTTATGAGAATGATAGTTGGGGCCATCTAGAATTCTACTGTATGAATACTACATCAATGTTAATTTGTATTTTTTTTGTGCTCCAACCAAACTTATTTTGTTGGTTAAGTTTTTTTCAGTTTGTTTTCAAATTTTGTTATGAAAAAGTTTTATGGGTTAGCTTATTTAACTATTAGAATTACAGTGTTAATTCATTGACTAACCAACCACAAGTAGACTTCTCATCCCATTGTAAATTTTGAGGCTCGTTTTTCGTGTCTAGTTCAT